CCTAGTCTGCCTTGCTATTTTTCGGACTATTTTATTGCCTGCTGAACTACAGTATATTCAGGGGTTCTCTTTTGGCGTTGAAGCTTTTTAAATGGTCTAAAGTTATATTATTTGGTAATTCATATTATGTCTCAGCATGCGAATTCACTGATCATAAAAAATCCTTTAGAACTAGTCGCCCGCGCTCTCGCTTCGATAGGGCTTAGAGGTCTTAACCTCAGTCGTAAAATATTGATTGAGAAGCCTTGAGCCAAACTTCACAGGTGTTATTTCTGGTAGATCGCGATATGTCTACCTTTCAACAACCCCTTTATCTTTCAATTGCGAGAGACCAGTCGCCACTTGGTTGAACTCGCAAGCCGTTGTGTCGCCCGGATAGGCTATTTGATCTGTAATTCCTGCAAAATAGGTGGGAATACTACATGCTATTAGATTCCAATGTCAATTTCGCATACTCAGCTAACTCGTTTGGTTTACCACTTCTGATTTGGTTAGTCCTTGAGTGCTATCATCCCGTTAAAGAAAAAGCCATTTATCTTAACGCCAATGCATTCCTAACGCACCCCGTCCATTCGTTAGTTGAAAGTAATCAAGGTGGTACACATTTAACTTCTATTTTCAAAAACTAAACCTTCGGTCCCGTTATTTGTGAACTATATTTTACTATCTAACTTTGAGATTTTATTCATCAGCACTAGATAAGATTAATTACATTTTTTGAGTGGCCTCTGAATCTGTACTATGAATCATTACACAGCGACCACAATTTCGAATCCTTTCTCTGCAATCAATAAGTTACCTAGTAAGTTTGCTACATTTACAAAACTTTATGAGGCATTCATTCTTGTAAATACACATCTATCTTGGTAGTTAAATCGCCAAACCTCTTATTCTTCAACCTTATCAAAGCCGGATTTAATCTTAAAATAACCTGATAGGATTTATGAATATATGTTCCGAGTCACTCCGCCTTGCTGTGCTTATTTTATCATACGTTGTTGAACCTGCTTTTCTTCATAGTCCATGATGACGAATGAGACGATGTATGTTAAAAAATGTATCTCTGTCCTTGAAGTTTCCCATACCTTTGTAACAAGCTCGTGTAAGTGACCTGCCCATTTTTAAACATAACGATTGGTCTGGATGGCGCATTGCTGCTGTTAAAGCAAGAAGCCATAATAATATACCCTGTTGAACGACATCTAGGGCCCTTCTCGAATTAAGATTTGTCGCCGTAGGTCGCTCGAGATGAGTTGGGAATTGATAAGTTAATTTTCCAACGGCAAAATAGGTGGGTCTCACTACGTCACTGAATTTAATTTAGTCTTGCTTCTCATGACGTTTAGTCATCCTGGGTTGGCTGCAGCCTTAATCACACGTAGGTCTCATCGACACTTTAAAAAAATTTTAAACAGGAATGTGTATTTAACATGGAGTGGCGTTGCCATTTGGCCACACGACCATTAGCGCTAGGGGTTCGCAGAGCATATTTGATTTTCAAAGCAAATCAGACCTTCCAAATAATATTCATAGTTTTCCTGTTGATCATGAAAAGTCGTCATTACAATTGAATAAAAATATATAGACTGAATGAATAGGCATAGAAACTACCTGTAGATCGAAAAAAACCTCGGTCACTGTTGCTTGGAGTGCCCTAAACGTAATAGTTGATGGCTCCGTTTCTAAGTTTTGATTGAGTCTCAATGAATATTCACATAGAAAATAAATAACATCGGTGACTTCAATTACATGTAGAAGTTTTCTCCACCAAGAATCTCACTATAAATCTTAAATACAATAGGTCTGGCTGACATGAAAATCACATCTGCCATGTGACCCACTAGCATCCGTTGCCGTGGCGCAATCGTAACATGTCACCACCTCATACACGACGCAGATTCGATTCCAGCTGGAGGTATTGATGACTCAGACGAGGTCGTGACAGCAGTCAATTCTAAATGAGAGTACTTTTTGGTAGTAAAGGATATTGAAAATTCAATTGCATCTTAAACCCTATTCGTATCACCACGGAGAAATTTAAATATCAGTCTTTCACCACATAAAGCGATGTAGAATGATTACGCTTCTGATTAAGGAAATACTAGCAATATCGAAACCTACCGATCATGAATAATTCAATGTCTTTTTATTTATTAATCGTACTTCCTTCCTGTACTTTTGCATATTTAATCATCCTCATGCAACCCTATCGACTTGAAGTCCAAAATGTGGATCTCAGTTTTGTATATACCTCTCAGAATTCTACTCTCTTCATTTAAGAATATAATGTGCACGATTGATAAGAATAGAGTTGATGATACCCTTCTTGGCTCAAATACCCATCCCAACTTCATCGTATTCGTGTAAACTACCTTCCGGTGAATGGGCCAACTTAAAAAGTGTAGACTTAAGACTTTTGCTTGCATCTAAACTTGTATGCCTCTTGAGCTTTACTCAGTGGAGGAAATGGATTTGTAGGCTGGTTTCCCTGAAATCTAAGCAAAAATTATCGCAAGCGATGTTAAGGTACCTTTAATTTCGCTTTAAGAGGCGAGTTGAAGGGGGTTGCGTTGGAGATGTGACTGTAGCTTTGTTCAAATAATTCGGAGTGACGAGACGGTGAGCCAAGGACTTATTCGCACAAATCTACAGTCACAATTTCACGGCGACCCTCCTTCGAATTATAGTGAGACCAATTTACGAATCCTTTTCATTTGCCTCTTTAAACGAAATGAAAGGTACTCCAACATCAATTCATTTAAATATTCTTCGAAAACCGGTTTTTCTAAATATCAGAATTGTTAGCTTGAGTATCTTAGCCCTCTCGAGTAACAACTTCAGGATAATTTTGTCACGGTGTTCCGTAAAAATCAGTCTACTTTCCTCACTTACTCAACCTTTTGTATGGCTGGGAGTGCCTTTGAAACGAATCATCTGTGTGGTTCCTTTGTGAATTTGTCATTAGTACCCTCTGTTAAGGCTTGAATCCTATAAAATTACGTAGTTATAAGCAAAATTAACTTATGAAGCCCCAGAGAATAAGAATTAAAAATTATTCTTTTTGGTCTCGAAAGGTATAGCTGAACAACCAGACATCTAATGATTTCTATGATTCGTGCAGAAAACCTCTGGGCATTTAAGTATAAGGACATTAAGAAAATGCAGGAATAACTATCTATGCTTGGGGCTGATGATGCATATATGAAATTAATATAGTTTGGGAGCCAAGTGTGATTAAAGTGATCTGATGCCTATCACTATAGTTTGCCTCCGTTTCAATAGGGATAGGTGCTTTGTGTGGTTAAGGTCCATCACGTGATGAGTTGAATTATTCTGATTCCAGATATTCTTGATATTTTGGTTTCAATAGGGTGTAGAAGTGATCAATCATCAATAAATAAATAATCTCTTGGCGCCACCGTGGGCTAAGGTAGGATCGGCGACTCTTCACAATAATATCTGCCTGGCTGCCCAGGCTCTTGGGTGCCTGCACACGATGGCACTTTCCTAAACGGTCGAGTCTGGTCTCATTATCGGCTTCAAAAAGCATCCTCTGTCTGGATTTGTACACGATTCCAGAATAGCCCAAACTCAGTAATAGAAGGTAGACACCTATTACTATGCAGAGTTTGGTTGAATTTACTCCACGGCTGGCAAAGAAAACAGTCTGCGCCGTCAGGTTGACACGGATATCAGCCCAAGGTATTTCTATGTTTGATTGCTCTTGTTTAGTCTTCCAGCTGTTCGGCTGCGGCCGACGCACCCAGAATGTATACTCTCCGATTTCGCCAATTTCCGGCGCCAAGATGACGACTAGGCCAAGGGACTTATTAACCAGGTGGATCTCAGAGTAGGGGTAATGAAACTTGGTGATATTCACCATATCTGGCGGCACTGGGCGGCCGGAAGGCAGTGTAATTTGAATGTCCTCGATTCCCGGAAAATAGATCGGGTAGTTAATGAAGGCCGGATGGTGCTTATACTGTTCGCTGTTCAGCTCTCCCATCACGAAAACGTCGACTGTCTTGGCAGTCAGATTTACGTCTGCTCCTGCAATCCCAATGAGGCATTGGATGCGAATACGCGTGGTGCAGGCGTGCGACTGCACAATCAGTTTGGCAAGGCATGTTCTCGAATCGAGCGTGCGCACCTGAACCAAACCATCTTGGACGGTCTGATTGCTTAGGGGGCTATCTAAATCGGAGGCCGTTGGCTGGATAAGCTTGAACACGTTTCTTGCGTGTGACGACGAAATGATCCAATATAGTGTCGCTGCCTCGCGATGCTCGAAGCAGCAGTCCACCTCATCCTCGTTGCTAAGGAGTACCTTATTATAAAAAGAGAAGAGGAAGTAAATAGACTGAAATCCTACACAAATATGAAGATATGAAGACCAAGATGATGTGGCCTTTGGTATGGTCGCAGTCTCCTTCCGATTTATAGAAGTGGGTTGACCTCGATGTCGCAACTTGGTCTTGTTGTAATGGAGAACGCACCTGGTCTGAATTCGTCTGAGATAGTAATTGTCATGATTCCCTCATCAGACAGTGGACTTGGTACCTTCTCAAACGTTTCACCGGCATCATCAGTGAGTTTTCCCATTCTCCGCACCAAGCTATGAACTGACAAAGAGATAAGTGAAGTCAATCCTTCCACCAAAGTTCTGCCGAAAACGGTTACACTATCACTTCTCTTTCTGCCCTGACCCATCTATCTACTCTTTACCCTCTTCTCACACTGCCGCCCTATCACAACTTCTCACTTGTTTACATTCCACTCGTCAAAATGGGTGCCCTTTTGCGGCAAATCGAGTGTGGCCCCATCACACTTGCTATTTACCCCGAACACTCTCTTTTGATCGGCTGATCAGACTCGGGCCTCTAATCCGGATCCTTTCATTGCCTCGTAGATCCGTTCCTTATCTTTCTGGTTGACCGATTTCACTCGGTTTCAGTCCCAGTGTGTATTTCACTCCAGGCGCTATTTATCAAGGCCGTAGAAGCAAGTACATCTTCGCTTCACTGAGCGGAGCGCTTAAGCTCTGATTTCCAGGCTTGTAAATATCAAGCCTTCCTTTCACGGGTCCTCTCCTTGATTAAACCCATGCTATCTGAGCAAACGCAGAGAACTTCACCAATATATTCTTGATCGCAGGTACCGCATGATATACAGTCAACTCCTAAACAATCCAATTTGTCTACTCTTTCATGTTGCGTTGGTAGACTTGTGAAAAGTGTTGATTT